GTAGATGGGACAGTGGATGGTCCAATTCCTTGGTCTCGTCCAATATTACGAACAAATGGTATTTGCTCTGAAGTACTGGTCTGTTCGACCATAGGTTCCTTACAAGGGGGCTTAGTTCGGTTACAAAGGAGAAAAAGTAAAAAAGTCAAGAGGAAAGTTCATCAATTTCAGCGTCGAAAACCGCATCGGCATCAACTTGAAGACCGGTCTCCGGAGGGAGCTCATTCACACTAGGGTGAGCCACTTCGGCTACGGTTCCACTGGGAGGATCAACAGTTAGGTCTTCAGCAGTGGGCACCGACCGAACTGGCTGGTCCACATTTTCGGCCGGAGTATCTTCATCAGAGGCATCATCAGAGTCAGAGTCTTCCAAAAACTGTTGTTGCAGAGCAGCCGCGTACTCCGCCAGGGACTTCGGTATAAAATAATCTGGAGGGTTGAAGACCTCGGTCTGTTGATCTTGACCGAGCTTCTCCACTGCCGCCCTCCAGCCGCATTTGAAGAACAGCTCTACAAGATAGAGTTCTACAATTCCACACCGGCATATCCCCAAGCAAATGGGCAAGCAGAAGCATCAAATAAAGTCGTCTTGGATGGACTAAAGAAAAGGCTAGAGAAGGCAAAAGGCAAATGGGCAGATGAACTTCCTCATGTTTTATGGGCCTACCGCACCACACCTCGGCGATCAACAGGAGAAACACCATTCTCCTTAGCCTACGGAATGGAAGCAGTAATCCCACTGGAAGTTGGCCTCCCCACAATTCGAAGCGAAAATTTTGATCCAGACTTAAATGGAGAAGCCATAGCCTTAGAACTCAACCTTGCAGAAGAAAGAAGAGAAAGAGCGTTGGTCCACATCGCCTCATACCAACGAGAGTTAATTAGAAAATACAGCAAAAAGGTTCATCCAAGACAATTCAAAATTGGCGATTGGGTATTGCGCAAAGTAATGGGAAACACCTTGGTCCCAGGAGACGGCAAGTTAGGCCCAAATTGGGAAGGTCCTTATAAGGTGGTTGGGTTAGCCGGCAAAGGGGCATACCACCTAGAAGACAAGGATGGCAAGGCAATCCCTAGGCCATGGAATACGGCCAATCTCAAGATATTTTACTTTTAGCTTTTATCCTTCAAACACTATGTAATTTTCTCTTCCTTCAGTAAAATGAGCAATTCTTTTTAGCACAAATTATTCTTTGTAAAAGTTTAGCTAGACTTGAGTATATTGCAAGCATTCCATTCTAAGTTAGCCAGAACAACAAACTTAGAGGTTGGCTGGATTAAACCAACACCCTTCCTAAGCCCAGGATAAGGATCCAGGCTGCAGGACATTCGGTCGGAATAACCAAACACTCGAAGTTCGCTGGAAAAACTAACTTCAATTGTTGGCTGGAATAAACCAACACTCGTTACTCTTCAGCCGAAGTAAGTGTAAGGCTGAAGAGTGGTTGGCTGGAATAAACCAACACCTGTTACTCTTCAGCCGAAGTAAGTGTAAGACTGAAGAGTGAACCAACACTTGTTACTCTTCAGCCGAAGTAAGTGCAAGGCTGAAGAGTGGTTGGCTGGAATAAACCAACACTTGTTACTCTTCAGCCGAAGTAAGTGTAAGACTGAAGGGCGGTTGGCTGGAATAAACCAACTCTTGTTTCTCTCCAGCCGAAGTAAGTATAAGGCTGAAGAGTGATTGGCTGGATTAAACCAACACTTAATACTCCTCAGCCGAAGTAATTATGTCGGCTAAAGAGTGGTTGGCTGGTAAGTATAGTTTAACCAACCAAAAACCGAAATAACATTTGGCGTAATAGAAGACATTACAAACACAAGCATACACACAACAACCGGAATAAGAGACGTAAAATTTTTCATTCAAAGAGAAGTCATTACAAGGGAGCTTAATTCGGTTACAAAGGAGAAAAAGTAAAAAATCAAGAGAAAAGTTCATCAATTTCAGCGTCGAGAACCGCATCAGTGTCAACTGGAAGACCGGTCTCTGGCGGCAGGACTCCTTCAGTCACAACAGTAGTATCGACCGGAGCCGCAGTTCCACTTGGCTGTTCAATAGTCAGATCTTCCACTCTGGACTCGGGCCGATCTATCTGATCCACATTCACAACCGAAGTATCTCCATGGGCAGAGTCTTCATCAGAATCTTCATCATCTGAGCCCTCAAGGAACTGCTGTTGCATGGCCGTGGCATATTCCATCAGGGAGTTCGGTATGAAGTAGGCTGGAGGGTTGAAAACCTCGGTCTGAGGATCTTGATCGAGCTTCTCAACGGCTCCCCTCCAGCCGCACTTAAAGAAAAGATCCTTGGCAGCATTACATTGTTGGGCGTAAGCGTCCTCTGCTCTCTTGAAGCCCTGCTGGTCAGCCTGTTTTACCTTCTCCTTTATTTCGGCATCCTTCTTTCGTTCAAGTTTTAGCAACTCGCGCAAGTACTTGTCCTTCAGAATTATGGCAGTCTTTTGTTTTTCAGCTTCGGCCGAACTAACCATTCCGGTCAGTCGGCCGACCTCACCCCGGAGTTCGGCCAGTTCCTTGCGAGCTTCTTCTAGTTCGGCCGATTTCGCCTCTGCCTCGGCCGCTGCTTGCCTAGTCACTTTCCTCAGCTCCAGTACTTTCCTGTGGGTGATTTGGTTTTTCTAGATGGCCTGATAAAGCAACAACCTCAATTTAGCCGAAGAAAAAGTTGAGTAGAAAAACAGAAATGCGACCGAAGTCACTTACCAGAATCATTGATTTAGTGGCTGACCGGATGGACTTCAGCTCGGTGGTTAACTGTTTCTGGTGGTGTTCCATGTCTTTGGGCAGACACACGCTCTTGGCCAGGTTGATGGCCAACAGGTGGTCTTTCTCAGCAACGACCGAGTCTGTGTCTAGAATGACTCGGTCGTTAAAAGTTAGTTTCGGTGCCCAGCAGCCGATAGTTCGGTCGGAAGACTCCGGTTGGGGGCTTGGTGGTAAGCTCGGCTGAATAGGAGTTTCTTCATCAATCAGAACTCGTTCGGGGAGTTCGGAAGTTCGGGCACGTTTGGTTCGGCGGGAAGAGGATGGCTGTTGGGAAGGAAGGGCGACAACAGCAGGCTGCGGTTGGCTGGAAGGCGCCGCTTCGGGCCTAGCTGTTTCGGTGAGAAGGGCCCTGACTCTACTCCTTTTCGCCATCTCTTCTTCTGCGGATAAAGGGACAAGTCTTATCTCGGGCAGAGTTGGGTCCGGATCCGGTGCCTCTTCAAGAAGGAAGTCAGTCACCTTTGCTTTTCGTCGACCGCTGTAACGGTAGGTCGGTTCGAAATTTAGAAGCTTGGCCCAATCCCTTTCTTTAACCCGAAAAGCGGCTCGCAAGACTCCGAGGTTAGGATAGCTATGCAGGGAATGGAGATGGGCAAAATCTGCAAAAAAGAGAGAAGTGTTAGTTCGGCTAACAGACTAAACAACCGAGATAACTTACAAAGTAGAAGACCGAAGTAAAATTACCAGGCTCTCTCATTTTCCAATTTATGGGTCGGCCAGGAATTTGAGCTCGAAAATCCTCAAAGTTCCCAGAGACCTAAAAGAAATCGTCATCGTTAAGATCTTTGTCCGGAGTGTGCTTGATTATCTTCTCTCGGCGGCGGCGAATTCTAAGGTAGTAGACCCACCCAGCATTCTTTGAGCCGATAGAGTATTGATGAAAGATCTCGGCTAGACCAAGATTCAGTCCGGTTTGGTGGTTTAATGCGGCTATCCCCATTATAATACGGTATGTATTGGTGGATAGTTGGGTGGGACATAACCTAGTCTGTCTAAGAAATTCGCAGATTAGCGGTTGGACAGGAAACCGTAGTCCGGTCTCTATTATGGATTGAAGGGTAAAAGGCACAAAGCCTTCATTGTTCCAGGGGGTAGCATCTTTTTTGGCCAATACCAGTTGGACATCATCAGGAATCTGGTAGTCCTGCCTAAATTCGGCCATACCACCAGGGGTTTCGACTAAATATCTATACTTACCCATTTGTTGTATAAATTACGAATAAATTATTTCGGTACAAAAATTGTGCTCAGTAGCTCGGTTGAGCACACGCAGGAGTGTCTGGGCAACCTAAGTCTGCAAGGTAAGAAAAAAAGGGGTTAAGCACAGATCGATTGGACCGCGCTACAAATTATAAGCAAGATATACAAATCCTACTTCGGCTTAGTGGGCTGGTTCTACATCGGCTCTTCAGAATGTTTGTTAGCACGGTTTTGAGCACAATAGACCGGTTTAACGTCTAGGGGCAGCTTTCTAAGTTCGGTCTAAAAAACTAAGAAAGCTGGTCTAAGTCCCAAGGCCTAAAACGGTTACAGTATGAGGAAAATTACTTCGGTTGAGCTCTTAGGGGCGGCTTTCTGAGTTCGGTTTAGGAACTGAGAAAGCCGGCTTGGCCCCAAAATCCAAGCTCGGTTATAGACCGAAGTACCTAGTTCGGTATGAGCGAGCTTGTTCGGTGATCCTATCTTGGCTAGAGTGGGTCAAAAGAAACTACTGATATTCCTACAAGTTCTAGTCCGGTTATGTTCTGAATCTATTCACATACATGACACAAACAGTATCCAAGTTCGGTCGGGACGTGATTCTGGATCAAAATCGAAATTTTTTCTCTAGGGTATATGACATACACATACAAGTTCTACTGGTTTCTTCATAGAAAGTACTAAAGCAAATTAGAGATAGAAGAAAAATGTTTTGCAAAAGCAAGCAGAGCATGGAAAACGAAATATGAAAGCAAAACAAAGGAAAGGAAAAAGGATTGCTTACCAGGAAAAGATGAAGCAGAGGACAGGAGCAACGGAACCAACGAAGAACACAGATTCAGGAGAAGCAGAGGCACAGAGAGAGAAGAAGATGAAAACAACAGAGTAAATGATTCCAGAATCGAAAGGGCTGTTTTGTGTAAAGGGGGAGAGAGAAAAAGGCGGCAAAAAGGAGCGGGAACAGTACAAAATCTCTTGCTCCATTTTGAAGGTTCGCTCTTCTTGCACTATGGTACCTCCGCACACTGGCCTTCCCGAATTCATACATAAGTTCCTTTCTGGATAGTTGATTGGATTTCATTCCAATGGATGCCCCTGGCTTAACGATTGACTTCTTTCTTCTTCTTCTTCTTTTTTTCTCTTTTTTGGTGTTCTTTTTTCTTTTTTTTCAATTCTTTCCTTCTTTCTTTTTCTTTCAATTTTCTTTTTCTGTTGTTTGTTTTTTTTTTTTTTGAAGTAATAAACATTTTATGTAAAATTTAATCCTCCACGAATAAAAATGACAATAATGAATATTATTTGATAGTTTGGATGTTTTTGTTAAGAGGGTCTTGCCAGGGAAAAAGCTTTTTATAATAGAAACTCTATTTAGTGCCTGTTTGGAGAGTCCGTTTGGAGGTTTTTTTTGGTTAAAATAGATTTTTTATTTTAATAAAATAAAATATTACATTCAATCCGTAATCATTACATTTTTTCTTAACCCCTGACTAAAATAGTTAAAAATATCAAAAAAACTAATCTACTTCCCAAACCAAGCCTTAAAATAAGCCTTAAAATAATTTTTCTGCACTTTGTACTCGTTCTTTTGCTTTTTATTTGGTTATATTCATTTAATCATAAAAATTAAAGTTACTAAATATATTAGAACATGGACAAATTGAAAATTAGAGCAAGGTTGAGATGACTTAGCCTCCGTTTGGGAAGTGGGTTGGCTTTTTGACTTTTTGACTTTTTTGGCTATTTTAGCCTGGGCTTAAAAGCTTGGTTTGGGAAGGGCTTTTTGGCTTTTTGGCTTTTTTGAGTTTTTTTGTGAGAGAAGAATGTAATGATTATGGGTTGGATGTGATGTTTTGTTTGTTATGGCTAAAATAGCCTATTTTGTTTTTTGTGGCTAAAATAGCCAAAAAAGCCTCCAACCCACCTTCCCAAACGGCTTTAAAATTTTTCATATCATTATTTTGTGAGCACAATAGAACTTAACAGCTAAGAGCATCCACAATGAATGTGTTAAAATTATATGTTAAAGTGTGTTATATGACAAAAAATATTACAAGTAAAACCTAAAAATATGTGTTAAGAGTTCGTTAATTTAGTGAGTGAATAGTGAATGAATGGTGGTATAATGGATGTGTTAAGGGGTGTGTTATATATATATATATATATATATATGCGTGTGTGTGTGTATGTATGTGTATAATAAATAAAATAAATAGAGACTTATTTATAAGTCATTTTTCAGATACTTATGGTAGGCTAAGTCTTGTGTAATTTTTTATAGAGTCTTTTTTATAGAGTCTCAAGTCCTATTTAGATAGGAATGTATTCCACAAGATCCCACATAAACGTAACGAGACGTGACAGTTACATAAACGTAACGTAACTTGACACCTATATAAACGTAAAGTAACGTGACACTTACATAAACGTAACGTGACACCTACATATACGTAACGTGGCATGTTACGTTTTGCAAACTTAATGAGTTTTTATTTTTTTAAATTGAATATGAAAATATTGTTCGTTTATGTTGGTATCACGTTATGTTTCATATAAATATGATCTATGGTAACATTCAATTTCCTATATAGAAAATTGAATATTACTATAGATCGTAAGTGTCACGTTACGTTTATGTAGGTGTCACGTTGCGTTACGTTTATGTAGATATGATCTATGGTAACATTTAATTTCCTATATAGGAAATTGAATGTTGCTATAGATCATAGGTGTCACGTTACGTTTATGTAGGTGCCACGTTACGTTACGTTTATGTAGATATGATATATGATAACATGCAATTTCCTACCATAAATCATATTTATATAAATGTAACGTAACGTGACACCTACATAAACGTAATGTGACATCTATGATTTATGGTAACATGCAATTTCCTATAGGATTTATGGGAACGTAAGTTTTTTAGTAAGACCACATGTAGCATAAGTCTCTTTAATAGGACTTATAAATAATTTTTCCTAGAATAAATAAATAATTTAATTTAATCAAAAATTTCAAGCCCAAAATTAAATTTCAAGTCCAAAAAAAATCCCAACAAGTAAAAAAATAAAATAAAAATTTCTATTGACCGGTCAACCGGCCGGACGTCTGGCCAGTCAACCGGTAAGACCAAAAAAAGGCTCCCCTTCGCTAGTTAAAACGCTCGCTGCAGATAACAAACAAGTAAACAACTGACAAATTTAACACACCAACTAGCAGTTCTATTATGAGAACAAAAACAGAAAATGACTACTTAAAAAATAACAACTGACACTAACACATGTTCTAACAGCTCCACTGTGGATGCTCTAAAGGGTACTTCCAATGTTTATTTTTTGGGGCATTCTATTTGAACCCAAAAAATATCTTAGTACGCCCAATTTAAATTTATAAATTTTAATTCTTATTATATTCTAATGTAAATTTACTAATAAGGATAATCTATATTAAACCCTAAAATAAATTTTTTTTTCTTATGGTACATCCCAGTCCATTATTCCTATTCAAATTTCTACATCTTCTTTCCCAAGAGATCAAACTTAGTTTGTCTTCTTCTTCTTCTTCTTTCGCACTCCAAAACTCCAATCCATCTTACCAAAACTCACCATTATTATTAACATCATTGTTTTTTTATTATTTTGAAATCATAAACCCTAGAAGAAAGTTTGAACAATTAAACAATGAAGGAAAGTGATAATCAAGATAATATTTTGAAGCAATCCATCAAAGAGGAGGTAAGCATTCATATAAAAATCAAAATATTTTTCTTGATTATCACTTTCCTCCGTTGTTTGATTGTTCAAACTTTCGTCTAGGGTTTAGGGTTTTAAAATAATAAAAAAACAATGATATTAATGATAATGGTGAGTTTTGGTAAGGTGGTTTGAAGTTTTGGAGTGAGAAAGGAGAAGAAGAAGAAGACAAACTAATTTTGATCTCTTGGGAAAGAAGATGTATAGATTTGAATAGAAATAATAAATTAGGG